AGAGCTAATGCCCTGAATTTTAGTAGATCTAATGTGTCTCTATTTTTGTTGCTGTTAGCATTACCGTCCCTATTGAAAGAATGCTTAGGAGCCCAGTCTGAATTAAGGCCCTACATAATACACAAACATAGCAAAAATATGGCTCTGTATGGAGAGAGTTTCTAATCCGTTATAAAACACCTTATTATGAAATGCAACAGATGAATTCTTAGGCAGATTTGCTTTGTAAATAAAGAGATTGGAAATGAAAGTGAGTTCTAAAATACACTCCAAATTAAAGACCTTTAGAAGGACACCAACAATTTAGTAATCAGCCTCTTATCTGAAAAGTTTATTTACTACTTTTATAAGCAACAACCAAACTGACTATATATGGAAATATTAACGGGGGTAGGAGGAACCGTACAAGACTACAGAAAACCACAAACAACCCTCTAATGTTTTCATGGGCAGTTTCGGTCAACAAGATCCCTACCTGCAGTGAAGGGCAAATGCAACCACTTCTCCCACCCCCAAAGGACTCTCTGACTCTTCCTGCCTGTATCCCTGCTTTTAAGGGACTAAATATGTGGTGCTAAGTCTGGCTGCTTGGAGAAGTCATGGAGGTTTCCCTAAGAAGTGAAATACCAGGGCTTGCTCTCATGTCCTCGAGTGTCCCACCAATATTGCTCTGCTTCCGCAGACTTGGAATGGGTAACTTTAGGATATCAGAAGGACACTCACCACAAGCACACAGCTTGAGCCTAACGCACTGCGCTGCCCCTGAGAGCCTGTCCCCTTCACAGCACTGCGCAGGAACATAGGCACGTGTGGCAGAATCCAGAGCAGTACTGCAGGTCCGTCCAGTCTGAAAAAGGGGAGCAGACAAGTCGCGGGCGAGCAGGAAATGCCTGTCTGGGGAACTGTAGGAGAACATAGGTGGGAGTGTGGCGTGGGAAAGGGGCAGAGTTGCTGCCTTCCCTGAACAAAGGCATCCTTACAGAAAATTGTGAATTGGTGGAGGGATTCTTGGAGATTCTTCATAATTAGCTGTGATTGTTTAAGTATGGTTCTGTCCTGAAAACTGAGTAAAATAGAAATTCTGAACTATTTTTCTAGTGTTTCCTGGTTGAAAGTGTACAACTTATAATTAAAATACGATTTTTTTTTTTTTTGTAACTGCTGAGTCTGTATTCCTTGTAGTATGCTGAATTCTTGTATCCGTGTAGAGCATCATCAGTTGTGTGGCCATTGAGGCCATACTCTGCCTGCAGGGACATCTATGGTACCCCACTGTAGGTATGTAACTCACCAGAGCTTGGCAGCTGGTGACGTATGAGATATAACAAAACACACGTCATTGTCTCCACACTGCTAAAAAGCAGGAGTCTCAGCTGCTTCTTTAATGTTACAGTAAGAGTGTATGGCTATGAATGCACACTACCACTAGATCTGTTCAATAAGAAGGGGCCTTTTTTGTATAAGCATTCTGCTTTAAGATGTCTAAAGCTTTACAGGCTGTGTAGAAAAATAGATTCCCTAAAATTCTGGATTCAGATCTTGCAGGAAATCCTATTTACACTGAAAAATGCTGTTACAAGCATTTGCAAAAATCCTGAAAATAGCATAGATTGAGGCAAAATGATCTTTAGTCTCTCTGATGAGTGGGATAGAGATAAAGTTCTGCAAGCTTCCAGGGAGTAACAGGACATTATGCTCATTGGAGGCCGGTTGTTTTCGTTTCCTAACGTTAGCCTTGTTACCCAAGACAAAGAGAAGGATCGAATGCCTATGAAGCAAGTTTTTTGGCAGAGAATGTGCAGACAGCTATTCCACACCCAAACATGTTATTTATGACAGTAATCTAATTACTTTGTGAACAAAAAGTCAGTAATGAAGCTACTCCAGTAAATTTAAGCCGATCAGATTATAGACAACTGCTAAGATGAAAACCTGGTAACATAAGATAAGACAAGATAAGATAAAGAGATCTGGCTATATTCTACTGTAAATTAAACTCCCATCGACTCCACGTGCTTCAGTCAATGAGTTTGTGTGGGTGGAGCTGATGGCTGAGCTTGGCCTAGAAACTTAGAATATTTAGTTACAACTTGATGATCTAGTTGGTCTTAACTCGGCCAAGCAAAGATTCACAGGGTATTAAATTGCTGCTCATGCAATTACATGATTAGGTGATAGTTTCCAGTTATGTCAACCTAGCTACAGTAGGTATGAGAAATTTTTTTTCTTTCCTTCTTAAAATGACAGCAGATGGAGAAAATACTACTGTAACAAGGTTCAGATTTGCAGGTTCAGTTCCCAGTTTCCCCATCCCAGAATGGGCACACACTGACTGTGCCTACAGTAGGTTCATTCATCGTACATGAGCAGGCAGTCATTTACCAGCGTCCACCAAGCAAGAAGCCAGTGCAGCTGTTGTTCAAGCTGGCTTGTATGCCTTCTTGTTTATAGATTCAGTTTTCTGAGACTGGTTAGCACAAAAATGGAGCATCGAGTTGCATATTTCCCTATGATGTGCAGAGCAGAAGCTATTATGCAAGAGGACTACACAGCTGTTTCTGTACGATTCTCCTCAGTTCTGGTAATCGGGGAAGGGAGGCCACAGCCTCCCACTGTTACTTCCTTCCCTCTTCTTGTGAATTTGTGGTTGATATACACAGATGTGGTTACTGTCCCTTATCCTTTTCTATACCCATCTCCCCGACTCCTGTTCTCTTTTTTCATCGTCCTTACAGAAAGGGGTAATATTTTCAAAAGAATGACCTTTTTTTGTATCTGCAAAACTTTGTCTATGCTGTTTCAGAACAGAAGTGCATACTTGTAGATCTAACTGCTTGCCTGAATGCAGACTGCACCCCAGTGTACACAGGGCCCCAGGCCAGCCTACTGAACTTGCTCCACGTGTGAGCCGTATCTTTCACTAAATCTTGCTTGGTGCAATTTCTGGAATATTCCCTTTAAGAAGCCTGGAAAATGAAGGCTAGAGCATGCTAATTCCACCTCCTCTAGACTTGTGCCCTAATCTTAAACTTTACAAATTCCAGCATACCCATTCTTTCCATATTAATTAAACATATAAATACATGATGAGTAGAATTGTCTTATGTGAAGTTTTAAAAAAACATGTAATATCAGCTGTGAACAACTAAAATGTATTTTGTTTTGGTTTTATATCTGTATGTGCATTTGTGCTTACCACTTGAATTTCTAGGTATGCGATACTAATAGCAATGAGAAAACACCCAATGTAAGCATATGTCATCCGTTGCACAGCAGTTGACTGCAGCTTGGAATATGTCTTGTAACTTTCAATTATACAGTCCAATAAACTACTGCTATCTAACACCACCCTACCCTTACGTAACCTGACAGCTGTAACACTTTGGCACCAGACAGTGTTTTGTTTGCTTGCATGATTATAACCTCAAGGCAAGAACTGCACCTGGGTATATGACACAGTCTCAGGGCACTTTTATAACAGAAACTCCGTCTACATTGCAAAGCTGGTCAAGAGCATAATTTTATTGAGAGCTTTTCTGTCACATTTTGGTATTAGTTAAAACCCTTGGGGAAATAATGGAAACAAAAGTATGATTTTGCCTGTTTAAATGGCATCTATTCTAGCAGGACTTGCTTGTTAAACCCCAATCACCAAATCTTTTTGGTGCAGTCTATTTCTAAGGCAGGAGAGATTTTCCCATTACTTTGCAGTTTATGAATGCAACTGCCTTGCAACTGAAAATAAGCATTTCTAAAAGAACTATATTTTATGTATTCAAATATGCATAGTTAGGAAGACTATTTGCAATACACTCATTGCTGACACACAGTAATGGCAGAACTCTAAAGCAAAGCAAGGAGATTAACCAAAGCAACTACATTGGCTAAGATGGAATGATTTTATAGGAAGAAAAAAAGTCAGATTCCCATGTACCATCAAAGGAGGAATATATATATCCAATTTAACATCAAAGTAATTAAGGTTGCTCAAGATAAATCTAGTCACATCCCAGAAATGGTATGATTCGGATCACTTACAGTTGCAGAGAAGCAAAAGTTTTCAGACTACAGATATTATCTGATATCTTCCATAGTGTGTTGGGTCCTTATTCAGCAAAGCACTTAGGCATATATTTAAAAAGGAGATTTTCAAAGACACAAATTGATTTCTGGCAGAAACTGATCAGCTAGTCTATCTTAAACTAAAGGCCTTTTGTACCTTTGAAAATCTTTCCTACCAACTTTAACAGGATCTAAACGTATGCTTGAAGCTAAACAGAAGCTTTAGAACTGAATAAACATGATCTTAAGCATACATTCAAATGTGTTGCTGAACATCATTCTGAGGGGAACCAAAATAAAATGGAAGCTAGTTTAAATCCATTGAGAATACTCCAATGTGAATTATTCAGGTACTCCCACTTCAGTTAATTGTTCAAGCTGCAGAGCCAGTGAAATATTTTGATAGAGCAATATATGATATCAAGGCAGCGTAACAGTAACACACACTCTAATCTCCAGAAAGTTGTCTCATTCCAGAGTTTCAGCATTAAACATTAAAAGCTTTTTGAACTATCTTTCATAACTTTTATAATAATTCTTTCATTGCTTATAACAACAATCTGGAACTGAAAACTTACGGCACAGAATTAACTCCCTCTTCACTTTCAGATGCAGAGATTTGTTGTAGAGGCTGTGAGATCTTATTTAGGCTCCAAGTTCTGATCTGCATCCCATCATTGTACTTGAAAACTATTTTCTGGGGAGAGAGAGGTCCTTATTAGCAGACATTCTTCCTGGTCACAGAGCAGGGGAAAATAAAGAGCAAATGTTCATTGCAGCAAAGGCAACAATGCCACACATGCCACTAATCTCAAATTCTAGCTTTGTTTCAAAATTTAACATTTTCAGCTGTAGCTGGACAGCAGCAGGAGTTGCAAACTAACCAATAACATTTGACAGACACACTCATGGTTTTACCTTTCTTTTTTGAAATACAGGCACTTGGATGTGGGTGTGTGGGACAGGCTGTCCTTAGCCGAGGAGCCCATGGTGGGCCCATGACAGTATCGGTTGGATTTGCAATGGCAGTCACCATAGCAGTGTATGTGTCTGGGGGGGTTTCTGGTAAGTGACTTTTTTTTTTTCTTATATAGCATTTATTGCCATGGTTTTAAGGCTACCTTATTAAATTACTTCCATTTCATGGTATAAACAATTATGTATCTAGCAATAGCAAGCACCATTACAGCAGAGTCTGCATCAGAGTTTCGCTAGTAAATCTTTGCATTCTTCTTGTTTCCTTCTATTTTTTGCATTTGACAAAATCTTCCACCAAATTCAGATCTGAACTACAGTGTGCAAACCTTGGCAGACCTCTGGCCTTTATGGAAAGTGGTCTGTGCAAACCAGAAATCTGCTTGTTCTTGCTTTAAAAATTCTGTCAATAGAGATGATCCTGGACAGCATAGGCACTGCGTCTAAGGAAATAACCATGAAAAGCTTACAGAATCCAGCAGTCACCCACGAATGGGTATAATGAGCAGGACTCACCTTACAGAGTGCAATTTGTCTCTTCATGTCCTATGACAAGCAGTAGCAAGTCTGCCTCTGTCTGTTTGCTTATTTGTAGAAGCAGGAGATCATACAAAGCAGAAACAGCAAAAAGATTCAGTACTAGAGATACATTCTGTGATACACTATCAATGTACTGTCATTGCCCCTTTGTTTCTGCTATAACATTTCCTCAATATATATTGGTCAGGAATCTCTCTTTTGTCTGTAGCTGGGCTAACTAATCAGTGTCTACACGTGCCATATTGGATGGTGCTTTGTCTCCTATTTCCACTATTCAGTTTGGCCCAATTAATATCAGAAACATTAGCATAAATGCTTTTAACATTTAAATTCTCCCTTTAAAATATAAAATGATGGGTTGTAACAATACAGTGTTGTGTACTGTAAGACACAATACTCCATGTTGTATGTGGAGTTTATATTGCCTTCTTAAAGCAAATGGTGCCCTTGTACTCCAGCTCTCATAGAGGCATTTCTTACCCTTCATAAAGAGGGTAAAGGTGATCTGGGCAGATATTTCTAGGTATAACTAGGCCATTATAAATAGTTGCTACAGCAGAAATTACTGCGGCTATTTCTCTTCTCTTTTACAAAGACACCATGCATGAGGAGGTTTCTAAGTTCACATTAGCATGTGCTCAAGGTACTGCAAAACAGGCAGTCTTGTTACTGTCATTGAAACAGAGCAGAATGGTTCCTTAACACCACACAAAGTTAATTCAGCAGTACATTCCTATTATCTGAACAACTTTAAGCTACAGCTTTTGGTTTACATGTAGGCAGGTAAACTCTTCCAATGCAGTATCATGAAAAAAAACGTGTAAAGATACTAACCTGTCCTACATTTGCATCTTTAAGGGATATTCATCTCTATTATATAGAAGATTAGAGTTCAATCCCAGCAGGGCAGAGCAGTTGCAGATGTTGCAGTATTGTGCTTCCTGTGTTTTTCCCATGACAAAAGATTCTGCATGCAGTGCATTTTCTCTGTGAAAGAATAGGAACAGCTATTTCAATAGGCTGTGACTATCCAACATAGGATTACTAGTGGACACTTTAGAATATCAGTTTCTATGTAGAATTTGTTAGCAAATTCTGTGGCTCTTTGGCCATGAAGTCTCATGTTTAAATACTGCTAAAATATTTTGCCTCAGTTCTTTATGAAATTCTAAATTCATGGTAACATAAAATATATAGTCTACACACTTGGTGAATTTGAGCTCTTTTATGTAGGAAAATTCCTATTTTTGCTTGTCTTCCATCTAATCTTCCTCAATGTCTACATAATTTCCCACCATTTTTTCCAACTTAACATTTCAGACGAACTCATGACTGTGATCACTGCAACTACAAAAGAATGGGGAACGCACTGCCCAAAGCACACTTTTTTTTTTTTACCAGGAAACTACCAGTGGCACAGGAACCAAGAATCTTTTAACTCCCTTGCGTCAGCATGAGAGCTTTCAACTAGACTTTTCCTTTCCAGATTTAGTGTTAATCAGACATCTCTAGTATTATTATGACTTGTCCCGTCCATCATAATCACCCTGTATTATATACAGGTGGGGAACAATATCAGGTGTTGAAAGAAAGTAAAATGATTCATTCCAGCCAGAGTAAAGAACAAAAGACAAGACAACAATTTATCAAAATTTACATGAAGGGCTGTTAAATAAGGTGCCATCCATCTCTTCGCTCTGCGCTGAAGAATTTGAAACACAGTGAGGAATTCAAAATTAATTCAAGACTGGTGCTACTAGGTTGGAGTTTTGGAAATGATACAAAGAAGGTTTTATCCAGCTTGTTATCTGTGTTTGTCAGTTCATTATGTATCAAAGGTGCCTGGATTTCATAAGATAATGACTCACTGACCTAAAGTGCAAGCAAACACAGAAACTGTACATAGAGGCCCTTTCTCCATAACTAGCCTTTGACAGACAAAGGTCATGCTCTTTTAGTTATTTTATTAAAGACCAAGACCATTTTTTTCTGATAACCATACAGGCTGAAATGAGACTTTACCCAGAAGGTAAGCAATGGATCTGCTATGTCCTTGCAAAATTTGGGTTTTACTGTATTTTTACTGTGGAATACCGTTTCATCTGTTTATTTATTTGGCAATTAGTATTTCTTAAGTATCAACTACATATTTGTAAAAAATGAAGTTTTCCAAAAGCATTCAACGCTTTTTTTCCATGTTGATAAAAGATGTTGAGGGAACTGACTAGCATGTGACATAATAAATATATTTTAGAAATTAAAATTGTCACAAAGAGTTCCAATGTTGCTGAAATCTTTTCCATGTGTGAGTTTAGGTGTAGCTACTCCTAAATACAAAGGAAGGAAATTCCACAGGAAATAGAACTCTCTGTTTCAGCACAGCTACTTTATCAGTTTCCTTATCGTGGACCTTTCTGGAGGGTGTAAGAGCTTGATGAAAACGTGTGAAGAAGAACTACACACTGCTGTCCCCAGATCCCATCCAGGCATACCTTACCAACAGTCAGCATGAAGCTGGACAGACCTGATATTATTTTATTTTATGTTCATGAAAACTGAGTTCCTAAGTAACCCCAGGTTGAAGACGGGGCCATAAACATGACTTAAATCCAGGGTACTCCAGATCTGCCTCAAGATATATAATCACGCCAGTAATAGTCCTTAATGTTAATACATGCTTGCTAAACTGAATGAATGTTCTGCTGCCCCAATCCTCCCTTAAAAATGAAAAGCCAAAGCCCTTGAGGAGAAAGAATATGCGCAGAATGATGGACCCTCCCATCACAACTGATAGGGCAGATTTAGGCTTTTTCTAGACAAGAATCTATAGATCTATAGATTACATACTGCAGGACAGCAGTCTGACAAATAACACAGTCTGCAAACATCAAGAGGTAAGCTGGATCTTGGTGGATACTGGCTTCCCCCCCCCGAAGGTCATCCAACTTGTTTCCGCCTAATTGCAGCCAGCATTTAATTGCAAAATAACATCTAGAAAAGCATGTACTAGTCTTGTGCTTGAAAGTGCCCACATTTTTGCAAATCCTTCACCTATTCTCATGTATCTGAGTCATCCATATGACTTTTGTGATTTATTTTTCAGGTGGTCACATAAACCCAGCTGTTTCATTAGCCATGTGCGTGACTGGAAGATTAAAATGGACCAAATTACCAATTTACATATTAGCACAACTCCTGGGAGCGTTTGTTGGAGCAGCGGCTGTCTTTGGGATTTATTATGGTGAGTACACCTTAGACATGCTTACAGGACAAACTAGAGGTCAGGCAGTCTCTAAGGCCCCAATTTTTCAATGAATGCCAAGCAGGCAGAGGACTCTGTTCACACAGGGCTAATGGCAGGACTGAAGCTAAAGCCATAAAGAAGAAAGGAAGAAGCATAAAGAGTTTGAAGGAAAAAAAAAAAAGACTCAAACATTCCAGGTATCCTACAACTTTTCTGAAACACAAATACTCCAGGAAATGTTCTGAAATTTAGAAAAATTATTCATGGGAAATCAGATACTCTGAGATCATGTATTTCTCAGTAAGGATTTTAAATTGCTTAATAGCCAGGATCTAGGGCTATTCATCTTCCAAGCAAATTAGAAACATTAAAGACCTGGTCCAAGTGCCTGTAGGCAAGTATCACCAATGTCGTTCATTGAGGTTACAGGATATGAGATCAAGTCCCTCCTGACCAAACTTCAGACCACCCTAGAGAGGTAGCTCTCCAAGGCAATGAACTCCAGGTAGAGTGATAAAGGGGTCACATATTAGAAGGGGGGGGAAAGAAAAAACAAAAAGGATTACCCCTATCCTTGAGGCATGTTTCTTTTACACGGTGTGCCATACAAGGAAAAAACTTAGTAACAGACTCCCTGACTTGATGAATCCACTCAGTCGGATCAGTTGCTTCAATCACCTACCCCAAAACTCTGCTTATACTGTCCCAGCCCATCTCCTCCAAAGCCTCTCTCTTATGGGCATTATGTCTCCAGACAGTGCTGGGTTTAGGTGGAACAGAGAAAAAATGAAAATGGAAATACCTATTGTATATCAGCTAGGTGCTCAGTACCAGTAGTAATCACGAACAGAAAAATCTTTAGGAGCTGCAGTAACTGTTTTGGGTTTGGTGGAGCTTTTTTGTTTGTTTGTTTGGGTTTTGGAGTGGGGTGGGTAGGTGGTGGTGGTGAGTTTTTTCTTTGTTTTAAGGTCAGTGTTAGAATTTGGAAACTGTGGAATTCCAGAACAGGATTTCCATCTGAATCTAAGTCCTCCTCAAGCCAGACAGCCAGGATTAGGGCTGTGGCCAGGACGCAGCAGTACATCAACATGCACATGGGGTTGGGGGTGAGTTCACTGTGTTCTGCCAAAGGGTAGCAGTAGGATAGGGAGCCAAGATAGGGAACTTAGGGCTAGGGTTAGAGACTTCTTCCTGTTATTCAGGAGTGCAAGATTTTCTCATATCCCTATCTCTGCTCAAGTACTTTGCCCTCCTCTTGTTCTTATTAGTTCCCAAAGCTCTTCTGTACTTTTTCCTTCCTGCAACTTGCAGGAGTGTCCTGTACTCATTGAGGTCCACTGAAAACATACTGGTAGAAAAACAGACATAGGAGCTCAACATCTCCATCTTCCCCATACACACATATCTGAGCTAGGTGCTTTCGTTTTCAGCGATACCCCTGAAAGAGTGAGGGAATATATATGCTAGGCTGCTAAACATGAGGCCTTTCTGAAGGTGTACAAAGGAATTCACAGCTGAGAAATTTTCTTTTCCTTAGCCTTTTTTTTTTTTTAGTTAAATGCAACAAAATAATCCAACACTGCAAATGAGAGAGCCTGACCAAAGTAAACGACTAAATATTCTCTGCACCCATGTCATGGCCTTAAGCAAAGCTTGTAAAAACAGGGGCAAGGAGAAATAGATTTGTCTGCTAGCTTCAGGAGAAGCTAACCATCCTCACCATGACTTCCATGGGAGATGGGGAGCTGTTTCTTCACTCACAAGTATCACCTCATCACTGGATCCACTAATGAAATAAAGGCATAGCATTTGTTATTCATGTCTGTCCATGCAGATTTTTGAGTGTTTCATCTTAGTGTCTTCCTATTTCTAACACTTCAGGACTTGCCAAGGCAGCAAATTATTCCGACACAGAAGTCATATTATACTATTTAAAGTATGCTTTAAATATACTAACATAAATATACATGTATTTACAATATACATAGATCTTTACAATATATTTAAAAATACACTAACTTAACTATAGTAAGAAATGAAGTTTTGGGGCTAGCCTCTCCCCTCACATCTTGGATGACTACATAGCAGCTGGGTGTTAAACCCAAGCAGAGTGAAAAATTCAAACTCCTTTAGAAGAGGAGGTCTCTCAGGAGAGTTCATTCCCAGAAGTAGTCATTGCACAACTGTCAAATGGAATAGCAGTAATTCCTGGTGGCTGAGAATCCACAACAGTACAATCAGGATGCTATGCATTTTTCAGGGCATCATGGCAAATATAGCACCTCTTACAGAATAACGCAACTGTGTTCAGAATAAGAAAATGCTCCCTGCCACTGAGTTTGGAGCAATAAGCAGGGGAAAAAACAGCCCCACGTTGAAAGCTGTGATACATAAAACAAATACTTCAAGGCACAGGAGGAGAGATGAGACAGGAGGGTATAATTAGTACATCACCTCAAATCTGTTAACTATGCTCCCAGGAAAAACATTCAGTTTCAGTTGAGAATGTGAAGTGCACAGACCTATCACATACATTCTAGTCCTAGAAACCCTAGTGTTTATGGAGAAGTGCAACCAGGTAACAGCTGTTTTCTATAGATGCCTTTATGGACTATAGCAATGGAACACTTGAAGTCACAGGACCTAACGCAACAGCACATATCTTTGCAACATATCCAGCTCCGTATCTGTCCCTCATAAATGGATTTGCAGATCAGGTAAGTGCACTTGCTGTCTTGATTCTACAAATTAAACGTACTGAAAACTGTAAAACCAAGCAGTAAAAAAATACATAGATCTCTAATGGGTGCGATGAATCTCACCATTTTGGTCATACCTCACTGTGTACAATAACACTGAGAATGCAGCGCTGTTTGTGGGGGTTACATTTTAGTCATATTTTAAAAGCAAGATAATTTCAAGTTGTTCTTTCCACACACATCATATTAATTGTTGCACTCTACTTGTCTTTAATACAATATACATAAGAGGTTTTCCGCAGCATAAATCAGTGTTTCTCCATAAACTTCAGCAGAACTGAAGTTTACATTTACATCAAAATCCAGCCCATTTTGTGGACCTATTATTCCTTAAGTAATGCTTAAGCAGCCAGATTAACACATCTTGAACAAGTGAGTTTTCTGCTACCATAAGCCTCCTCTCTAAACTTCTCTTTGCAAATAGATTTGTAATATTTGTTATTTTTCAAATAACTGAATCTGGAAAAATCTCCACTTTATTTCCAATCTGTATCCTCTAATCCCACTTATCCAACAGTGAAAAATGACGTTTCATATCTTCTGTCTACTTCTAATCAATTTACCCATCTTCTTCAGGCATACATGAAATGAATATACTGCGTAAGTAAGCTATGAAAAAATAGGGATTTCTGGAGCACAGGAATTCTTTATGTAAAGGACTTGAAGACTGTGAAATCCAACTTCAAAATATCCGAACACTGTTCTGAAATTTTGTAAGAAAGACAATTCTGATTTTTGCTTTGGATCAGTCAACAGACTTTTCCATAACATCTTTTTGCCCATGTATATTTTAAAACAAAATTAAAACCAGATGAAATAAAAATAATTTTTAAAACCCCAAAACTTAAACTTCTTTAAATCAGTATAGAGATTGAATGTTTTGACATCGCTGAAACTTTGGTCTGTTTTTCCCCCTAAGTTAATTATTAGCAAAATTGACATTTACAAAGCATTTGATTTAAGCAAAGCAGCACTTCCATCGAAGTAATTCCAAGAAAATTTCCTTCATCAGCTCAATTAGCATATGCAATACAGAGTTCACAGTACAATTACACATACAACCTTAATTTAGGTAATTCCTAATTTTCTAGCTGCTCAGTTTTGACTTTGTAAACTTCACTTTTTTTCTTACGTTACGCAATACCTGCATAAAGAGGCGCATATTTAGTCTAATTCATCAGCATGAGCTACAGTCACATAAAACACTTTTATATCAATGTAACTGATTGTATTGGCACAGCAGAACTACCAAAAATCAAGTAAATGGAACTGTTAAATTGGTCGGAAAAAACATGGAAAGAAAGCATCAGAGCTCACACAGGAGATGCCTTTTAAATCCTCTATTCTTTCCACACCAGGTTGTCACAGATTTTTTTTTTCAAGTGTCCTCAGCACATTTCTTGTCTTTTTCTTTCAGCACAGGTATCAAAACTTCTCATTACTGTGAAGTAGAGAGGCACTGGGTTCCAAATTTTGCTACTCTGTATATTGGGATAAATCTAAATACCAGCTCTAAGCCACCACAATCCATAGAGCTGCCATGGCCCCTCTTTTCATTATTGGAAGGAATCTGCACGTATTTATTCAATATTCTTTTCTTTGCATTGGCCAGGTGATGTCAACAGCTGTTCTTCTTCTGGGTATATTTGCTATTTTTGACACCAAAAATAACAGCGTACCAAAGGGCCTGGAGCCAATTGCAGTAGGACTTCTTATAATTGTTCTTACTTGCTCCTTGGGAATGAACAGTGGCTGTGCCATGAACCCGGCCAGGGATCTAGGCCCAAGGCTCTTCACAGCCATTGCAGGATGGGGGATGGAAGTATTCACGTAAGTATGTCTGGATATGAAATAAAATGCTCTTGGCTAAAATTACTTCCTAGGAAAGTAAGATCCTGATTCAACATGGTACCAGGTCATATTTATATACATATAGGTAATTCTTTGCATACCAGAAGAAGCTATTCATGCACTTTAAGCCAGACATCCTCTAGGAACTGGGCTTTAAAAAGGATTTCCTGCTCCTAGGGCAAATCAAACATGCATTATCTCTAATATCAATCATTGTTTCAAGCAGACCCTTCCCAAAATATTAGAGATTCTTAGAGGTCACTGAAAATATAAGAGTGCTTTCTTCTCTTGTCCTGCAGCTTTCAGAAAAAAAATGAAATCGTGAGAGAGTTAGGTGGGAACATTTATTGGGTGCTGTAAAAAACACAGACATATCAGAATGATTTAGCCTATTATTACTACTGAGTTATTGCAGAAATATACAGCAATCTAAAAGCCTGACTTCCTGCCTGGGAGTGAAGGAAAGAAAGCTCCCTTCTTTTTCCCACATTTCAGAGCACACTCTCAAATCCCTGTGCATGCGTGTGCACACGCACACTCTTGGCTGGTCAAATGCACAGCTAATTAGTTGCACATCAAATCCACAGCTTACACATATCCAGTGTAAGAGGCACTCTGGGATATCTAAGTAAGAGTGATCTGTCATCAGGAGGTAGATCTTTTGGTTTATTTTTGTAAAGTTTGTTTTTCCAGTTATTTACAAGTAGGAATCCCCAGACATGCTGTAGACCACTAGAGAGCTCTGGTTAATAGAGATTTCATTTTAGCTACTTCACCAGGTACAAATAATCTGTATTTATTTAGTATGACTTCCACCTACACAAATCATGTGCCTTAGTAGAGGAAAGCAGTAGCAAAGCTTTTCTTGTACAAAAAAGCTAGGCATAGCATAGAAGAAATGGGCACACAGTCATGTCACAGGCCAGATCCAAAGCTTGGATGTAACACAGCTCTGGCGAGCCACTGGTGGGAGGTCAGCTCTCTAGCCCTGTTACATCCAAACTTTTCCGCCACAGCAGATCTTACCACCGTACCATTAGACTGCACTTTTTTTTAAAACAGCAGCACACAGAGTGATATCCCACACCTAGGATTCTCCTCTCTCATACCTATTTAATTAAAAGTTGTTGACTATGATGTTAATTATAGTGTCATGTGTTATAATCTGTAATATATTATGAAGTTGGCTATTATGTTGCTGAAAAAATTTGGAAGCCTGATTGTACTGTGGTCTACTCACAGAATACCTGTGAACTCCCCTCCTCTCCAAAAGTAGGGTCTTACTCATTTACATTTAAGAAGTTACAAGAAAAGTCTACATCTGTACCGATATGGGCTCTTCCCTAATTTAGTTTTAGGGTTTATCAAAGAATCATAGAATAGTTTGGATTAGAAGGGACCTCTAACGGTCATCTAGTCCAACCCCCCTGCCGTGGGCAGGGACAACTTCGACTAAATCAAGGTTGCTCAGAGCCCCGTCCAACCTGACCTGGAATGTTTCCAGGCATGGGGCATCCACCACCTCTCTGGGCAACCTGTGCCAGTGCTTCACCACCCTCAGCGT